CGTGGAAGAAGCCGGGTGACAACTGTTCTGTTCACTCACCACGTCCAGCAGTTCAGAACTGGACTCGGGTTGCGGTGAGGGACGGCGACGACGAGAACGCCGCTTTCTCTTAGAAACCGGAGCGACAGAAAAAACGGAGAGTGTCGGAGCAACAGTGACTGGTCCCTCATCCTCCGACCACATTCCTGCCAGGCATGAGGCAGGTGAGGGGTGGTCGGAACCAGACGTGAGGGAGGAAGGAGTCCGATGCTGCGACTTCAGCTGCTGCAGAGGGGCTTTAGAATGCTCCGCCCGCTGCGGCGGCATGAGAAGGCTTGCTCGCTGTGACTGAGGCGGTGTGGATGAGGAGATGAGGGTGAATTGGGCCAGCTCCCGGGCTTTGACTGCCTCCTTAGCCTGGGTCAGCGAACGGCTGAACTCCGAGGCAATAGACAGCTTGCGCAGTTGAGGATTTCTGTCAAATATGGTTTGTATTGCATTCAGCCCGACTGAGAACTTCTGCAAATCTGAGGCGTGGCTAATGCGAGTCATCAGTCCGAGGATGCGAGCAAGGTCCACCTCTCTCTCGAGGTGAGCTGAGTCCGCTGGGTCCATGTTATGGTTGCGTCCTTCTGTCACGATGAGTTGTGTGGCTGTCAGTGGCTGGACCCACGTGCAGGACTCGGAGACAAAACATTAACTTAAACGACGGCTTTATTTGCTGGAGAGTCACCTTTGGACGATGCATAAACAACAACTTAAACTAACTAGACAGGAGATGCTGAAGGAAGACGACCATGGATACACACACAACAAACGTGGAGGACGCAACAACTGGCAGGGAAAAACACAGGGCTTAAATACATACTGAGGTGATTAGGGAATGTGAAACAGGAGGAGAGCACAGCTGGGACTCAGACATGACAAGACAAGGGGAGGCAAAACTCAACACATTGACATAGTACACAGACTTTCAAAGTAAAACAGGAAACTGAACAGACGTGGACTAAACTAGGGGATACAGTGACAGAAATCAAACCCAAGAGAATCAAAACACATCATGAAAACAAAGATAACTAATACAAACAGAAAAACACTGAGTCCACAGACTCAGGACCGTGACAGATGCATTCTGACGTTCCACTTCTCCATTTGCTTGAGCTCATTTTGGTGTAGTTCTTATATGTTTGATTCCATTAGTTTCACAATATTGAAACTGAACAGCTCAGATTTGAACTGTGGGCCGTTATCAGATTTGATGGTAACTGGTAGCCCATGTCTGCTAAATATACAGTCAACAGAGTCAATGACTTTTTCAGCAGTTGTAGATGACATTACATCATACTCATAGTACCGACTGTAGTAATCTATCAGTACAAGTATTGAGTGGTTTGAAGGTAGCAGTCCCAGTAAGTCTACCGCCACATCTCGCCATGGTCCATGGTCGCCATGGTAAAAGTGTGTTTCTCAGTGGTTCAGGTGGATCTGGTCTGGCTACTATTTGACATCCGTGACAAGCTTTACAAAACTTTTCTGCAGCTTTGTCCATCCCTGGCCACCAAACTTTTGTTCTGAGATGCTGTTTGGTTCCAACAATTCCTAAATGTCCTTCATGAGCTTTGACAGTGCTTGAGCTCTCAGGTTTTCTGGCAATACAATGCGAGTTCCCCGCAAAACTATGTAGCCGATGACACACAGTTCATTTGCAATGGGTGCATATGTTTTGCATTTTTCAAAGTGTCCATTTTCAATAGCTCTTCGCACTTCTGTTAATTCTGAGTCTGTAGCAGAGGCTTCTTCAACCTCTCTTGTTGTGAGTGCTTTTGGAGTAGCATTAACTGCAACAAATCTCACATATTCTTCAGATTCATGCTTGTGTATCTCTTTTGTGTCAGACAGCAGTCTTGACAGTGAATCCGCAATGTTCTGTTTTCCCGCAATGTGCACTACTTTAAAGTCATATGGTTGCAGTCTGAGAACCCACCTTTCTATGCGTGCACAAGGTTTAGATTTCTGGCTGTATATGACCTCCAATGGCTTGTGGTCTGTGATGAGGTCAAACTTCCTGCCATACACATATGGATGTAGTTTCTCACATGCCCATACTAGTGCTAGGGCTTCTCTTTCTGTTTGAGAATATCTTCGCTCACAGTCTGTTAAACTCCGACTTACGTAGCACACTGGTACCTCTTCTCCGTTCTGTATTTGAATTAGCACTGCGCCCAAGCCTACAGGGCTTGCATCTGCTATGACTCTGGTTGGGGCTTCTTTGTCAAAATAGGCTAGGGTACCTGCTCTGGCTAACTCAGTCTTTAGTCTTTCAAATGCTTGCTTTTGTTCTGGCCCGAATGTAAACATAGTTTCTTTTCGAGTTAAACATCTTAGTGGTTCAGAGAGTGTAGCAAACTGTGGTATGAACCTGCTACTGAAGCCTACCAGTCCAAGAAAGCTTCTCACCTCAGTAGCATTCTTCGGTTCTCGGGCTTCCACCACAGCTCTCACTCTTTCTTCAGTCGGGCCAATGCCTTTCTGTGTCAGCAGTATTCCCATGAACACGAGTCTGTCCATGTTGAACTGACACTTCTCACAAAAACAAATCCAGGTCCGTGTTGTCCTCGTCGCCATTGTTGTGTGCCCACCTTATTACTAAATTAGGCGGAGCACTCCGAATTGAATCAGGACATAATGTCTTTATGTTGCTTTATTGAACACTGTCCATCTTACAACTAGCCACTTAATGGGGCTTCCTCCGGACAACAACATCCGGTTCAAAGGTCATCACCTTAAGACATAGCCATATCAATACATGACAATAACCTTCATTTTATGGAGGCACAGTGTGAGCACTCAGGTCACATCAGAGCATCGGGCGGTATAGTGTGAGACCTGCATCGTGACCTACGAACTTCTAACCCCTGCGAGTCAATCGTGCAGTTTGAGCAGGAGCTGAATAACGTGACTGAAAAAAATCGCACAGTGTCTGCCCAGCTTTAGGTGTACTGTCATCCGAGACTTGCACCGCAGTGTCTGCATTTGTTTCCCTGTTGGCTATGCTTCTTGTTGTGGTCATCTGTTGTCTTCCGGTATTTTCTCCGTAAGCGACCTTTCCTCGACCAATGAGATGAGCGGTAATCTGAATTGTCATACTCGAATTGTCAAAGTGTGCTGTCAGCTCATTGGTCACAAAGCAGGAGAGGGGCTGGGAATTATGTTTTCAAACAAAGCGTTAATTCCATTAAAAGTTATAGACTACTTTTGATTCTCACTGTATTACGGGACAAAGTGCGTCCCTTATTAGCTCAATACGGGACGTGTACTTTTGTTTCGAAATACGGGACGATTCCGTTTTTTAAGGGACGGTTGGCAACCCTACGTAGACTGAGAATGCCCACACTGGCTTAGCCAAAACTTAGCTTGGCCTCGCCAATCTTAGCTTAGCTTAGCGATAACTTAGCATATAAAATGTGTAAGCAGAAGATGTCCAGAGTAGGGATGGGTACCGGTATCCATAACAGTAGTAACCAGACTGAAAAACAGCGCACATTTCAGTGCTTTATTTCGGTGCTTTTTTTTCCTGAGATGTCATACACTTTGGATTCTAGCCAATCATTTTACCTTTCCAAGGATAGTAGGCGGGGCCAGGAACGTAGTTCTTTTAGAGCAGAGCTACAGATTAAAAATGCCCAAGGCAAAGCGGTCAAAAGTCTGGCTGTACTTCACAGCAAAAAATGCGAACTCAGCAGCCTGCAATAAGTGCTTTAGGGTGATACTGTGCAAAAGAGGTAACACCTCGAATCTGATGAAACACCTAGCGACGTATAGCATTTTGTTAAAAGCCGAGAAATGCACGTATTTGATAGCTTGCTGCAAGACCGAGCACATCTACTGCGGGTGTGGTGCCTGTTATTGGACCCGGAGTTAACATAACATATGACAAACAAAAGACTCAAACAAGAAGACATGGATGATAACATAAACTAGACCACACTCAACTACGACAAACTAATAAAAATACTAGAACTTCACATTACCACAATATATCATAAGGCACAACGGATTACAAGGTGCATTAAGCAAAACAAAACAGTCAGATAAGTCAAACTTTATTCAACGCATTCTTTTTGTGAACTGATGAAGACACTTGGATATAGTGATGGGAATTCCGTCTCTTTTTAGAGAACCACCTCTTTCGGCTCCGCTCACTGGAAAGAGCCGGCTCTTTCGGCTCCCAACCGGCTCTTCAGGTTCACTGTAAAAAAAAAAAAAAAAAGTTGCTAAAACTTAAAAACTCAAGGCAACCGACTGCATTTACGTTTTTAGGTTCTGATGGATAACTTATAATTTCAAGTTTAGGAGATAAGTTGCTTTAGCTAATGTTTTTGTGTTGACAAAATTAATTGTCCTTTTTCTCAACTCATATTTTATTGTTTTTGCAACGTATTTCCTAAAGTTTACACAAGGTATTAGTTTTAGTTTCGGCAACGTATTTCCTAAAGTTTACACAAGGTATTAGTTTTAGTTTCGGCAACGTATTTCCTAAAATTTACACAACATATTTTTTTGTTTTGCCAATCAATTTCCTAAAGTTTAGAAAAAGTATCTTTCATAGTTTTCATGAGGTGCTCCCTGTTGTACCAATGAATGTTTACACAGTTGATTTTCAAATAACTTTGTGTTCAAACACAACTGCACCACTGACAATGTTGACTTTTGAGATCAGCCATTTTTAACATACTGACAACATTCAGCCACAAATAAAGTCCTTCCAAAAACACAAAAAATTTTTTGTAACAAATGTTACTCATCCAATTTTAAAGGTGGTGTTGTCAGACAGAATATCAAACCTATCTTGATAGATAGTCACTAACAAACAGATTCAAAACATCAGATGGCAGGATGTGAACAACTTCTATCTGGTTTCCATACAGCAAACAACTTTCAAACAAATGTTTCCACCACTTGTCTTTTAATAGTAATGGTATCAACACTCCAATTTCCTGTGAAGTTCAGTATCGCGGCACATTGGTTATAAAACTAGTACAAATGTACATAAAACCAGATTATAAATTTTTTTTAAAACAGCTCAAGTTAGAATAAAACCTTTCAACATCTTATAATAACATGTTAGACATGAAATCTGCAATCAGCCATGCAAGCTACATTAGGTAAAGTTAGAACAGAAGACATTGATTCAGAACTTTCTGCACCATACCGTTTTCTTAAAGACAGAAATTAACTTTTTTCAGAGCAACTTGCCATGAAACCCAAAAACTGTAAATCAAAACAAATTGCCATTCTGTTTTACACAAGTTGCATTTGAGTTGAACATGTTGTCAAATAGGTTAGACTTTGGTTAAGAGCTTGGTTTTGAAGCTTCTTATCCTCTGGGAACAGGTAGATGTCAACTCCATAAAAATGTGTTGCACAGCTTCAAATGTGTACTTGAGTTCTTTGGGAAACTCCATGTTGAGCCCATAAAGTAGGCCAAACAAGTAGGCAAAGGCAGTGGGAAGGTCTGGCAGATCATCAAGAATAATGTCCTCTTCCAAAACAATGGCAGTGTTGACCACTGTGGACTGCGAGTTGGGTCCCACGTAGTCCTCCAGAACAGTGAGGATGCCCACCGTAACACCTCGGGTTGCCCTCTCAACTGGATCTGTATCCTATGCAAAATAAAAAACAACAGTACATATAAGTCTCTGAAAACCAAAAATGAAGATTGAGTAGATTTGCATACTCACCAGACATGTTAAGAAGAGTTTGGTCTCGTCGTCGCGAACAAATATCGGTAACCCTTCCAAACTGATGGTTCGTCGATGCTGGACTATGTTTGAGACCTAAAACAAGGAAATCAAATAAGACTCAGTCTCATTTATAAACCTACCATTTTGTTTTTAAAACACATTAAGTGTTGTTGCTCAAAATACAGCCTTAAGAAATAAGATGTTGAAATGAGTTATTACAGATAATTGGTCATGTTTTTGTCAGTTTTTTTTTATTTATTTATTTTTTAAGTAATTTTGATGTGCAACAAATGTAGCACACTTATTTCAACATTTATAACAAAAAGTGCCATGAGTGGGATGAGAGTTGAACTGTCTGTCATGACCTGCAATCTGCCAAACACAGCGCTACTTGTTAGCTTATAATCCCATTCAGGACACACTTTTTGAAAACTAACAATTTTTACATCAATTTAGTAAATATTTAATAAAGTATCTTTCGTTACAGTGGGAACTTCAGGTTCCTCATAAACCAGACACAAATACATTTTTATATATTACCTGTTCATCAAACTTCTGCAACAGGGAATCCATGTCATTGCGGAAAGCAGCTTTTCTAATTCGATACAGCTTAATCAGCCGAAGTGAGTAAGTGTCGAGGGCAGTCATGAAGGTCCCCATGAGATCCTTGGTGGTAATGCGTGAGAATTCCGCACAAATCTACAAAGCAACAAAAAAAAAAAAAAAAAAAAAAAAATTAGAAAACTTTTAAAGGTACATTATATAAAAATCACATTGTTTTCAAATTTGGTTAAAAGAGCTTAATTTCAAAACATTTATTTAGTCTCAGTTGATCTATTGGTCAGGCCTTGATTGGATTTTTTTTCTTTTAGGGCAGACGGCCAGGTGGCTTTCAGTCCTTGCAAAAGCGCAAAGTAGACCCCGTAGCATCCAAAAATATGAGATGCGCATGCGTACTCAGGCACAGAAAGGCGCCAATAGCTTCAACTCATGTAAAACTTGAATTCATTCATTTTGCCAGCAATAAATTTCATCTGAGACCAACTTTTGCTCCAAAACGTTAAATGATTAGTTGAAACCCTTAATGTATTTGAGTTTATGGGCCAACTGAACTTTTATTGTTGAATTGTGAAAGAAATGACTGTAAGCTCAACAACTGCAAGTTTGATTTTTTACAGTGTTGTTGCTTTAATTAATTTATTATCAACACCAATATAAAATTATGCACAAAAGAAATGACTAATGTTAAAAAAACCCTGTGGTTTTATTTATATATGTTTATATATAAATATATACCGTGCCCCTAGAGACAAAGCACGTACAAACTCCAAAACACGTACAAATTCCAAAGCACGTACAAAGCTACCTAGATCACTTAAATTACATAATTGAAAGCATATGTGTATTGTCTGTGTATTTATACACAAACTCTTTCACCTCTCACTCTTTTGTTCCAGTGGAGCCATAGGTTGAAAGGGCAGAGCACGTCGTACACCATTGTTGTCTTCTTCAGCGTCAATGTGGAAATCTTTTCACCCTTTGGGTTATTACTGTGTTTGTGGAATCTTCTTGCAATAGCTGGCATGAACCCAAGTGGCTCGACCTTCGACCTAAACTGCTGTCAAGCTGGTCTGATCAGCACCCGGTCTCCCAGTCTGGGAATTCCCCACCTTGGGAGGATTTCAGCATTCACCATGTTATACTCACACATAAGGCCAAGTGTTGGAATTTAATAATCTTTAATACAAATATACCTCATTGTTACGTATCTCACAACTGCTTAATATTTAGCATCACACACTTGTTTATACTTTATTTCACACGGTTAAGTATTGTAAAGTTTTTTTCACAATTCGGCTGATAAATAAATATAATATTTATTCACCTAGATAGTCCTACATTATTTATTTTTAAAAGTGATTATTATTATCCAATGTTTGATGATTTGTTTTTTTTGTTTTTTGTTTGCCTGTCCCGTTTGGCTCTTTTGCCATCAGAATTGTTGTCTAAAGGCAAAGAAAGATGCCCAACGGATTTACTTTACCAAATTGACCATCCCAGCCTTGCTGTAATGGTCCATTTGATTCACCTTTTATTGTTCATTTTATTTTCACTTACTGAATACGGGACAGACTGGACTGGGGGAAAGAAGGGGAGAAAGAAAGAGGGAAAGAGAAACAGCTGAGAAGAGGGACGGGGGAGAAGGGCAAAAAACAAAAACCAACAGAATGAGCAGAGAAAAAAAAAAGAAAGAAAGAAAAAAAATGCATATATCGATCACCTGGATCACCTGCTGAGAAAGAAAAAAGAAAACAAGCAGAAGAGAACAAGAGTAATAGAATAAACAACATCACAATGATATATGGGAATATGACAGTAAATACTAAATATTAAACATTATTGTGCAGCACATAAGATCAACAGAACACAGTGTGCTTTGAGGTAGGAGCCAAAAAGGGTGTAGTTTGTGGGTGTGATCACCCGTGTGTACACCTGTGAGCATGGACGCGCTTGTTTTTTTAAAAGGTTCCTTCATGTAATGATCTGCTAGAGGGTGTGGGGGGGCCACAGCCCCGTCCTCCAGGGCATGAAGCAGGTATGGAGGAGATCAAAACTCCAGACATCCAGAGGCCCCCAGAACACAAGAGACCAAGGAAGACCAACAGAGGGGCAGCTGCGCCACTGTCCCAGAGAGAGCTGAGGAGAGTCCCAGATGAGGGCTCACTCAGCAGCTGCGGAGCAGAAGCCAGGGGGAGTTGCAGTGACGCGCCCGTGAGCTCCGCCGGCAGCCAGCCGTGCCTGAGTGACCGAGCCCCAGACCGAGAGGCCGAGGGCACCCCACCTCCGAAGTGGCCCGAGCGAGCCCCAGGCTCCAGGCCCCGATAAGCGGCCGCCAAGGAGTGAGCCGGTGTGTACCTGGACGCCCATCCCCGGACACAAAGAACCGCCAACGCACCGATGTCTGAGGGAGTCCGCCACTGGCAGGGAAGTGGTGGTAGGGGGAGATAGGCCTCCAAACCTTGGAGGGCCTAAGATGTCCCCAGAGAGGTGGCGCCTGACACCCAACCTGACATATAGACACAGAAATACAGGCACACACATATACAAACATCCATTCCCACCCTCATGCTCTCATATGCACTTACTCCACACTCAACCAACGTGGAGACAGACATAAAGAGACGCTGTACACACGATCACACTCCCCAAGCGTACTCTACAAACCGGGTCTAGGTACCCTTGCCCCTGGAGGGGGAACTGCACCCAGACCCAGGTGGTGTTACCCTTTTCCCTGCGGTGGGGGGAGGCAGACCGCCCCGACTCCGCAGCAGCAGGGAGGCCCCACACTCCAGACCGCAGTCGGACGGCCAACTCCTCCTCCTAGCCCCCCCGCTCCAGCAGGTCGCAGAGAATGGGGGTGAGAGAAGACTCCAAACCTCCCTCCACCCGCTCATTGTAGTGTTGATGCATGTGTGTTCTAAGGTGCATTTAAAACCCAGGAGTGCATGGAGCTACCTGCCAGAGAGCAGCAGGTAAGCGCATGGTCCCTCCTGCTAGCCCTCAATGTCTACGTGTATGTAACCTTGAGAGGTGGGCAATGACGCCAGGGGTGGGGTGTACACCCTGATGGTACTTTGGATTCCGTGTATCGTGCCCACCCCCAAGATCCTATATGTATGTGTAATGAGAGTGTGAGTAATGTGAATGTCTAAGTTGTGGGATAAAATTGAGGCAGAGGCAGCCAAAAGGGGACGGGGGGGGGGGGGGACGGGGGGGGGGGGGGGGGTAGCCTCCTCTGCACCCTGGTGACATACCCCTACTCCAAGGTCCTGCATGTGTGGGTGGTTGTGGTGGAGCGGGAAGAGGGAGGCAGCTGGAGATGGGGAGGGAAGGAAGGGAGGGGCAAGTGACCCCTCCCTGGGGCCAGCTCCCCCGCTGACCCCAGTAGGCACCCCCATACTCCGCGACCTGCCAGGGAAAGGGGGCCCAGGCCCATCCAGACCGGGGCCCAGCGCAGCAGCGCCTCCCGGCCCCACAGAGCCCGGGACAGTCCACCCAACCCCACCACAGAGAAAACTGCACCCACCCCACCATCCACTCATCTTCCAGACTACATAAGACAATAAACACCCAGGCTGAGATCTTCCTCCACCTCTCCTGTATCTCCCCCTCCTGCAGGGAGAGCTCCCGAGGAGAGGAAAGCTCCTGCAAGATGTGACAATCTACCCCACCAGTTGAAGAGCCCCCCAGGTGGCTCGATGCACCGGCGGCACCCTGCTCCAGGGCTGGGCCCCCATGCACCCACCCGCCCACAACCCCGGCAACACACCAACCAGGACCCAAGCCCCCGAGGCCCGGCCCGGGCCCCAGCCCAGAGACGGAGCGCCCCCAGAACCTCACGCCCATCCCGGACCCACCCAGGGGCAGCCAGGCTACCAGGTCAGTAACCCACGTCCGTCAGCACAGACCCTCCCCTAGCCCCGCTGCACGCAGCCGCGAGGAAACAGTCACCTGAGAGCCAACAGAGCCCCTAACCGGACATGACCGCTACCCCGGGTTGAGCCCCCCAAGGAAGATGCCTCCGGGGAACCCCCCGACGCCCTAAGCCTGTCCCTACCCCCACACCAATCACAACAGTGAAGGCGGGACCAAACTATGACCCCCCACCCCACTAGGTGATGGAGCTGATCAAAGGAGCCCAGAGCAATTGATCTGATGTGGTGGCAGAGGCTGTATCAAGACTAATGTAATCTAATAGATAATTTCTATATTGGTTAGAATTAAGATTATTTTTATTTTTCCAGTTCATGAGGACTGTTTTCTTGGCTATGCATAGGGCAGTGAAAACCATATGGGCGATATTCTTTTCTGAAGTGACATTATCTAAGCTGCCCAACAAACACACTAAGGGGGAAGTTGGAATGTTACATTTCAGACACTTCGATAAGTCTTCACATATCTCGCGCCAAAACTTCTGAACTGGTGGACAGAACCAAAGAGCGTGGATATAATTGTCCGGTGAATTGGTTTGGCAGTGTGAGCAGTTGTTGGTAGACGTATAGTGCACCTGTATAGAGTGACCTGTATAGTGCACTCTATGTAATATTTTGTATTGAATTAATTGAAGACTGGGATTTCTAATTAGATGAAAGGTTTTTAAGCAAATCTGAGACCAGAAGTTTAGGTCTAAGTTAACTGATAAATCCGCTTCCCATTTTGCAATAGGAAGTGATATTGATTCATCTGTTTTAGAAAGCATTCTGTATATTTTGGATAGTAATTTGGGGGTTTTAAGAGTAAGAAATTGAACCACACTTGGTGGTGTTTGTAGTTCAACTTGACCCGGTTTAAATTTCTTTTTTACTATGGATTTAATTTGTTGATATTCTAAAAATCTTTTCTTGTTTATCCCATATTGTGTAACTAGTCCGTCAAATGAGATAAATTCTGTTCCTTCTAGTATATGTTCTAAATATTTGATTCCTTTACCACTCCAATCTGAAAAGTTTATCATATTATTGTTTTGTAATATGTCAGGGTTGTTCCAGATAGGTGTACGTTTGCATGGGATTAATGAAGACGCTGTCAATTTTAGAAACTCCCACCATGCTGTCAGAGAAGAGCTGATGTTGATGCTTTTAAAGCATTCATGTCGTTGGATGTTTGAGCTGATAAATGGTAGGTCTGAGATCTCTAGATTATTGCAAAGTGCTTGTTCTACATCTAACCAAGGTTCATCTAAGAGGGTATGTTTTAGCCATCCTGAGATAAACTGAAGCCTGTTGGCTAAGAAGTAGTGCTGAAAGTTAGGCAGTTCTAGTCCTCCTTTATCCTTGGTCTTTTGTAGTGTTTTTAAGCTTATACGTGGGGGTTTATTTTTCCAAAGGAATTTGGACATACATGAATCTAGCGATCTGAACCAATCTTGTGGCGGTTTAGTTGGGATCATTGAGAATAAATAATTTATTTTTGGTAAGACCATCATTTTTATAGCGGCAACCCTTCCCATGAGTGATATGGGTAGACATTTCCATCTAGCCAAATCATCTTCTACCTTCTTTAAAAGTGGGATATGGTTTAATTTAGTTAGATCTGCAAGCTTGGGAGAAACATTAATACCTAAATATTTTATATTTCCCGATTGCAGTGGTGTAGAAGAGGAATTATGGAGGGAGCAATTAATCGGTAGAACTGTAGATTTTGACCAGTTAATTGAGTAATCTGATATTCTTGCAAAAGAGTTTATCAATTCAATCACCCCAGAGATATTGGTTTGTGAATTCTGGAGAAAGAGTAACACATCATCCGCATAAAGGCTGATTTTATGTTCCACGTTCTTGCATTTTATGCCCTTAATTACTGAATTCTGTCTAATTGCTGCTGCTAGTGGTTCAATAAAAATTTGACCATTGTTGTCTTCTTCAGCGTCAATGTGGAAATCTTTTCACCCTTTGGGTTATTACTGTGTTTGTGGAATCTTCTTGCAATAGCTGGCATGAACCCAAGTGGCTCGACCTTCGACCTAAACTGCTGTCAAGCTGGTCTGATCAGCACCCGGTCTCCCAGTCTGGGAATTCCCCACCTTGGAAGGATTTCAGCATTCACCATGTTATACTCACACATAAGGCCAAGTGTTGGAATTTAATAATCTTTAATACAAATATACCTCATTGTTACGTATCTCACAACTGCTTAATATTTAGCATCACACACTTGTTTATACTTTATTTCACACGGTTAAGTATTGTAAAGTTTTTTTCACAATTCGGCTGATAAATAAATATAATATTTATTCACCTAGATAATCCTACATTATTTATTTTTAAAAGTGATTATTATTATCCAATGTTTGATGATTTTTTCAGTAAATACTACTGATACACATATCAGTTTATTTGTAAAACAACACAGGAACAGTGATTACAAGAATGATCACAGTTGTCATTATTTATTGGGTTAAAAAAACTTTTAAAGAGCAAAAGCAGAAGAATAAGAATCTGTGAGACTGTTTGGCATCATAATATCATGATAATGATATAATGATCTTATATTATAATAATGAATACACTGAACTGTAGGAAGGTCAAATATCTAATATCTAATATAAATCTTTGCATGATATTGGTAAGAAGAAGTCATCTTACAATAAGACATCAACATTACACACTGTTTATTAACACATGGAAATAAATGGCAGGCTGTGTGAATGAATTATCCTTAAAGTATGTTTTAACTGCCCAATCCATGCTTATCTAAGATGGCATCTGTGGGAGCTGTCATGTCCCGTCAACTAAATTTGCCTGGTATTGTTTGTGTTTTACAAAGTGAACTGGACACAAAAGTAATACTGATTTTGATTTTGCTGACTGGTTCTTCTTCTGGGAAGTAACATTGTTATAATCACACAACAACAACAACAACAACAACAACAACAACAACAATAATAATGGCACAAAGTTAATGTAGTCAGGAAAAACAATACAGTGAAGAAATAAACCATCACAGCACCATTTAAACAATTAGCTGTTTCCATTAGATTCATTTTTAGATTCATTTCATAAGCACATAATTTTATTAAACCTTATAAAAATTTAATCTGCCGTTATATTTACAGCTGGTAAAAAGTCCCCCAAATTTTTCAATCAAAGGTTTTAACATGTTTATTAATCTCATATACAGCCTTATACCTCAGTAATCAAATCTGACTTTTCTCTGCTCTGCCTGGTGTTCACTGACTTCATGTCACTGGCAGAGTGTTTTTTCTCTTCCTTCAAGGCACTCTCCAGCACATTCAGGATGGATTTTCGGACTTCAGCCTTAAAATCTTGTCTTAAGAAGACATACAGCAGTGGATTCAGGCAGCAGTGAAGAACCATCAAATTCGAGGCGACATTCGACACAATTAGAAAGGCAAAGTGAAATGTTGCATTTGGTGCCTTAAATATCACCAGCTGAATAAGATCAATGATGTAATAGGGAGCCAAGCACAGAAAAAAGGCAACAATAATGGAAGTGATAACTTTAAAGGGGCGACTTGATTGGCTGGCCAGGCTGTGGTTTCTCCTGAGACGATGGATGATGACAGCATAACAAGAGACAATGACAGTTAAGGGGACTGCAAATCCGAGAAGGAAGTGGGTGATAACAATGGTCTGAATGACAGTTGGTGTTGCTTTTTCAAAAAAACCGATGTTGGAGCAGTAAGTTGTGTTTTCAGTTTCTTTCTTTGTGTCCATGTAAAAATAATGTTGAATGTTGACAATCAAAGCCAACATCCAAACACACAGACTAACATAGGTTGCACTGCGTACATTTCGGTGGTTCTGAGCCCAGACAGGCCACACCACAGACACACATCTGTCCACACTGATCACCACCATAATGTAGACACTGGCATACAAGTTTAGAATGATTAGAGTGCCGCACAGCTTGCACATGAAATTGCCAAAGGGCCAGTGAAACTGCAAAGCCAGGGATGTTGCTCTAAGGGCTAGAAACACTGCAAAGATGAAGTCAGCCACAGCAATGTGGAGGTACCAAATTGTGTTAACAGTTTTCTTCATCCTGAACCCGGTCACCCAGATAACCAGTCCATTCCCGAGCACACCGAGGAGAGACACCAGGGAGAAAACAACAACAGCCACGGTGGTAAGAGACGAAAACAAGTCAACCCAAGAATCGTTTAGATCAGGTGCAGCAGTTGTATTGATTAGACTGGCCATCTCCATTATTGTTTATCAAGAAACCTGTAATATCAAGAAAACAAAAAGAACAGAAAAGAGACATCAGGGTCTGTATGAATGTATGTAAAGTAATCTTTAATTTTCCTAATCTTTTAGATTTCTGCTTGAGTAGAGCTGTTAAGCTGTTAAGGCAGATTAAGGTCTAGATTTCACAAGTGATAAGCCAAGAAGGAAATGAAGAAATTTCAAAGTGAATTTAAGAGATGAACTAATCAATTAAAGCAATTTTTAAAATAAGATATTGTATCTCAAGATGAATAAGTTTTACAACAAAGTGGGTATAACAGGGACATGCTTGTTGTTAACACAGTAACTCATGAAGTTACTGAAATTATCAATAAAAGGTGCAGGAAAATAAGGAGGTGTTTTTGTCTGACCTTTGATTTATGTAACAATTAGACACAAGGATGAAAAAAAGAACAAAATTTGGTGACAAAAGGTTTGATAAAATCTCTTAAATGATTTTAAATGAAGTAATCTTAAAAAGCAGCACTTATTGTGAAGCAAAATATTTAAGCTCATTCAAACTATGCTATTTTAATCTATTCAATGAGTGGTGCATATATGTAAAAATAAATCCATAGATGATGATTTTCATGAACCAGCAGCCTTTTTCAGAAGTTGAAATATTTTGCCACAAAGGCAGATTCCCCTCTGTTCATGTTGCCCAGTGCAATTTCATGTCAGTTGTAATTAAAGACTTTTTATGTTTATGTAATGAGGAGAACTGTAATGACCTTCGTGTTTGGTTTGAATACACCTTAATACAGCAAAGCGTTTTTTACAACAATTAGAAACAGACAGAAAAACATACGCACGATCACTGTGTGAGAAACAAGTTATAATATGACAGAAAACAATTACTTCAAGAATTCTCATCAAAGCAGTGCTCTCTCTTAAATGCAACAGCTTAGCTTGTTTGCTTAATTTTAATAAATTATCTTATTGTATTATGTAAATACCAGGGTCAGTCTATTCCTGCATAGCAAATATGTGATGATTTTACAAACTTACAAAAGGAAAATATCAAAGATCATTTACCTTTAGGGAAGCTCCCTTGTTGGTTGTTGATGAATGCAATGCAGAAAAATGCCAGGTTAATATATGTGAGGTAAGACGTCACTGCCCACAAAGAAAGAAATTGAGAGAGAGCGAGAGGGAGAGAGAGAGAGAGAGCAAAAGATGTCTAAAATCTAAAATATAGTGTGCCACCAGTATAGCTCTGTTATCAGCATCCTGTTTTGCAAGCTTGGTCAGCTTTTGTATTTACTCTGAAAGTTGCCATTTTTGCCCTTACATTTATCTCATTTATTCTTTCTCTTGATTCTTAGTTTATTTCTGTCTTAACTTTTACAGTGTTCAAAGAATTAAAGGGACACTTTGAAAACACATCAGACCTTAATGGGAAAACAATGTGCCGAGCTTGAAGGACAGACTGCCCGCATAGGCGAGAGGGGAATTTTAAAAAAATATTGTAGGAGGTGACTTTGCCTCTGAACAGGAAAATATGTACAGTCGGGGGTCAAAGTGGGTTCAGCAGGTGGGGAAACAATGACTCTCTTCTCTTTTTGCTTCTCTCTCTTAGCTTTTTGTTAAAGCAAAAATAATAACCCTACTTTGAAAATGGAAAACTAGAAAGAACAGATATTTATTTAAAATGTAGGGACCGTCACTCACCAGGAGAAATGCAGGACTAAGTGGACAATGGGCAGTGAACAATTTCATTACATTATCTAATGGCAGTCAGGGTGCTGTTACCTTGCCTAGAGGTGTGTGCATTACTTCAAAGATTAGCAGTACCCAGTAGAGGAGGCACCGGAAGCAATGTGAGAGAAGTGGGGCAAGCCTATTAGGCCACCTATTAGGTAATTCAATTAGTTATTATTGCCAATGATTGCTCACTAGATCACAAAATATACCACATACTTTTATGAACCACAAAGGTGAGGGACCGCTGTGTTTTCAATAAGTCTTGGACTCTGTCATTCAGCTAGCTGGGTTAACAAGCTACCGCACCAACTGAGCCTTAAGTTAAGACTCATGGTGGGGAAGTGTGTGTTTACATCATTGACGCTTGGTGCTAAAGTGCTACTGTTGTGCACAAATGCTGTCCTCCACTGGCAGTTTATTATCATTGAGAAGAAAGGCAAGACCATCAGACCCTGCGTAGAAAACATTGCATTTGTTCACATCTCCTTTTGAGTTATTACAGGGAGCAACCATCTTCAGTAAACTGGACATGCAGAATACTTACCATCTGGTAAGAGTAAAGGAAGTGGATGAGTGGATGAATACCTCCACCAGGAAGACGAACTCAGCCAGCCTCACCTCTGCCATTTTGAGTATCTGGTGATACCTTTTGGTCTTTCGAATGTCCCCTCTGTGTTTCAGTCCCTCGTGAATAACGTCCTCCAGGACTTCATTAATCGTTTTGTCTTCGTCTACATGCTTATCTTTTTGAAATCAGCCCAAGAACATGAAACCCACGTCAGGCAAGTGCTACAATGTTTGTTGGGGAATAAACTTTTTGTAAATAGAAAAAAATATGAATTTCACATTGACACAGCTTCCTTCTTGTGCTACAGAGTAGAGAAAGGCAACCTCAAACCAGAGCCTGCAAAAGTGAGGTAGTAGTAGACTTGCCAGTCCATCTAACCACATGCATCTCCAATGTTTCCAGAGTTTTGCTAGCTTGTATCGCTGTTTCATCGGCGATTTCAGCAAAATGGCCTTACTCTTAACACATCTAACCTCTCCAAAAGTTTCTTTTAGTGGTGTGCGGATCGATTTTGAAATATCGATTCTTCCGATACCAGTAATTTATGTTCTAGAATCGATTCTCATATTAAAATATTGATATTTTAGTACTTTGGGGTAAATTTTTAGTTTTTCATTAACAGGAAAGCAGTGGAAACAAACTATATCATTCGAATTGGAAGGAACTACTTCCTCTTACGCCTTTCATAGTCATGTGCGAAATACGGCTGTATAAATGTGTCGCAGCCCCTGGCGTGCGCACTCACAACAATGGCTGAGCGTAAACAGAGTCATGTGTGGACGTATTTTACCTCCACAAACAGTCAAGACGCGGTTTGCGATACATGTGGCAAGACAGTGAGGTGTGGTGGCAACAGCACTAACCTCGTCAAACACCTCAGAGTAAATCATGTCACAGAATATGAGCTTATGTTGAGACAAACTGAAGAGGAGGACAGGGACAGGTGCTACCAGGGCGAGACAGACATCTCTCTCGGAGTCCTTTAGTACTGCAGGCAGGCAACATGCTCAAATAGTGCACAACTTCAGGTTTTTTATTTCTGTATGATAATTCTGCATTATTAAGCAATGAGAACAAGTAGTCTGATGTCCTGATCATTATGAAGCTATATTACTATATTCTCATTACAATTTCATAATACAATTATATATTGTATTATGAAATACAATAAAACATTACGTTTTTGTACAGAGTATCGGTATCGGATCAGTATCGTCGATACCACCCTGAATTTTAGTTGGTATCGGATTGGAAAGGAAATCAGTGGTATCGCACATCACTAGTCTCTTTCCAGTGGAATCCTTCAGCGTAGTCAGTGTTTGATCTCCTGAAGAAATGTTTCGCCACCACTCCAGTCCTGTCCCAGCCTGATATTAACTGCTAATTTATCATCGAAGTGGATGCCTCAGACTCTGATATAAGAGCAGTCCTCTCTCAGTAACGGGAAACTGCATCCATGTGCTAATTTCTCCTAGTTGTCTCCTTGATTGCAGTGGGTATGCCGATTGCAACAGAACCCCTGCACCAACTTACACCAAAGGCCAGAAGGTTTGGTTCTCTACTCAGTAATTGGGAGTACTCTCCCAGTTGGACCATGTGAAATAGAGTCTATGGCCAACCCGGTTTTGTGCATCTGAAGCTGCTTCTCAATATGCAAACTCATAATGCGTTCGATGTATCTCAACTAAAACCTGTCCACTCCACATTCTGGTGAAATCACTGTAAAGTGCACTAAACTGTGATTCATTTCCACACTGATCACTAGAATGTAGACCATGACAAATGTGTTCATATAGACCATATTTATGGTGTATCACACTCAGGGGTAGAGATCTTGCAAAGAAGAAGTCAGCTACAGCAAGGTTGAGGTACTGAAATGTATTGACTGTTTTCTTCATCTTGATCGTGGTCACTCAGATATCCACTTGATTCCAGAGCACGCAAGGCAAGAGCCCAGGGAGAAAACAACAATACGGATGTTGGTGAGAGACTGAAACAACTCAGCATACACAGAGCCATTTGGATCAGGTTCAGCAGTTTGACTGATATTGATTTGACTGAAAGAGTTAATTGTTATATCCATCATAGTCTTGAGACCAGTGAAGATGATATAAAGAAACAATACAAATGTATGTAAATCTTTAATATTTCTACTGTAATGCTTGCAGAGTAGAGATTTTCTATATGAGCACAGATTTAGGCACTGAAAGTTGTCTAGGCCTTCATACTGTGGAGCTAAGAAAGAAGCAAAGAAGAGTAAAATTTAGCATAAATTAATGACATAAAATACCAAAATTCAGAAAACCCGAATTTTTCACTCTTGAGATGAAAAATAACAATACAGGAGTGTGCTACGAAGTGATTTACATGTGTGGGACATGTGGGGACAGTGTTAAAACAGTGACGTATGATATTACTGAAGTCATCTTTGAGTAAGAAAATAAAAACATGTACACTTTCTCTTTGTTTGTCCTCCTGTACAGCATGTCGGTGTAATTTCACAACATAGACACAAGCATTAAAATGCAAGTATGATGACCAAAAATTTAGAAAGCCTATTTTGTAAACATTTTAAATATTTTATAAGCACTCATATACCACAATATACAACCTTGATGAGTGTCACTGATGTCTGCAGTTAGATGCTGCCAAAACAATAAGAAAATATTTGCATATATTCCTGGTTTGGATACAGCTCTTTTTATCACTATTCTGCATAGTTCTTTTTGTTGCCATTGTTTTTGTGTTTTTTTTTTCAAAGGTACCTTTAGCCCTTTTCAAAAACTGATTGTCATTAACTTTCTATGACAAAATTCTAATATCCAACAAAGTATCCTTTATCAGTCTTTATGTAAATTGGTTTATGTATTTCATATGGATATTGTCATCCTTTGATTTTTTTATGGTAAATGGTAAATGGCCTGTATTTGTATAGCGCTTTTACTGGTCCCCCCTAGGGACCCCAAAGTGCTTTACAGTCATCCACCCATTCACACACACATTCATACACTGGTGGAGGCAAGCTACAGTTGTAGCCACAGCTGCCCTGGGGCAGACTGACATGTTTATGTTGTTATGTTTTTATTCCTTTGCGAAAATCTTTTCACTCTTTTTGAAAAAGGGAATATGTGATCACCCCCAACAACTCATATCCACTCAAAGTTTTCAAAAACTGTGAGAAATTCTCAGCCGCTCTAAAGAGACAGAGACAGAAAAATGATTGTTGTGTTGTCATTAATGTACCATGCAACTTGTTATAGCGAAAAATTACCGCATCCTGTTTTGCCATCTTGCTTGAAATTTCTTGTTAACTCTTACAGTCATCAATGTTCTTCTTGTGCTTGGTCAGTGTTAAGTTTTGAAAGAAGTTTGGGACCATGAGATATACACCGTGTGGCATTGCTTATTGACAATAACACAGCCTAACAATACCTAATTTCTTCAATTTTCTTTAAAGTAAATTTAACTTAAAACTTAAATATCTCTCCACTCCATTATATTTTCTATATGTACAGGGAATAACACCCCTTCGTCATGGTGCATGGATACTTCTTTAAGATAATCCTGCCTGCCCGGCCATGCCCCACAGCAAATCACGGTTTTAGTAACGCAGTAATGCAGCGTTCCTACGGGAAAGTAACGGTAATCTAATTACCGTTTTTGCAATAGTAATCCCTTACTTTACTCGTTACTTGAAAAAAGTAATCAGATTACAGTAACGCGGTGGAGACATGCCAGAGTTCACTTGCCAGCAAGTAAAGATTTGTTGATACTGTTAATAAAGTTTACGATGTATGAGAGGCACAGAAAGATGTAAACATAAACATTTGTGTGTCGATCCTAACAGTGTGTCACTCTGACTTTTGATTTAGACACAAACATGAAAAGAGAACACCAAAGGTTTTGAAATACTGGGCAGCATGGTGGTCAACACTGTTGCCTCACAGCAAGAAAATGCTGTGTTCTAATCCACCGTGTGACCAGGACCTTGCTGTGTATAGTTTGCATGCTCTCCACATATCTGCATGGTGCCATACATTACATTACTTAATATAGCCTAGCTTGTATTATTCAGAGTATTCCTTTGTGTTCTTAGTGTTAATATCTCATCTTTGTATATAGATTCACCCCGTCCCCCTGAGCCTGTATGTGAGTTTGCCTTACTAGTATGGGGTGTGCGAGAAGGCGAGCAGGTTATTTCAAATATCACACGCTTTGGTTACCAGTGCACATGAAAAGAGAAAGACTTCACTGAGTGAAAAAGGGATAAAGATACAAGCTGGTGATGATCAGGTGTAGCTGGTCTCAGGTGATGAAGAAACAGCCTGATCACCTTCTCTACAAAATCAAGATGAGTTTAAAAACTAAAATTTAGTTTTTCAAGGTATGTATGCTACTTTATATTTAAAGTGCTCATATTTCAACTGAATGCTGTTATGTGTATGCATCTCTACACATATTATAGGAAAATTTATAATAATCCACAGCAGATCTGATCAAAAGCAAAACTTTGTTCTTTCTTGCTGTCTTTCAATGTTAAAGTATAAAACCCCATTTAATTCAATATATTTTCAAGTCATATTCCACCACAGTTTTCTCAGTATTACATTTTGAATTTTTATTTATTTTATTTTTAGCTTAAAAATTAAAAAACACTAAGAAGTATTAAAGTATACTTTAACACTTCTTAGAAGGGGGGGTACAATACACACACTCACAGATTTGTGATTCGTTCAATTGTTTTATTTACAGTGTGCTGTCAGACTGCAATATTCATGTTTACTTTACTGCTCAGCTTGCTCTGTCACTCAGCTCAGCTGCACCATTATTTCTCTTGTGCTGGGGGTGGGTGGTGGGGCATGATTAGACAATTGTCATATGCTGTGTCTACCAGCTTCCCCTGACAACCCACTGCCCCACTCTTCCCCTGCAGCTGAGCATTAGATATCAGTGTAACACACTGCCTAGAATACAGTTATGTGACATCATCATCAATGAATATGAACTAGATGGAAGTGATCATGGCTTTTAAATTTTTTGCTGACTTTGACTACATGTCTGCTTTTACTTATTTCTGTTGCACTCTCTCTCTTTGCCATCTTCATCCAGCTTTCTCCCTTTCTCTCCCACACGATCCCCTGATTCAGTCTTTCTACTGTCACCAAAAGTTAAATAGAACAGTGAAACACTATTTACAAACTAATAAAGTTATAAACTGTTCTGTTTCAATTCATAACAGTATTCAAACTGAATACAGGCTGCTCTTGGCCACTGACAGGCAGCAGTCTTTTGATTTGTTGTCACTTGGCTCTGTAACTGTACTGTAAACAAACGATGAAACCAAATTTGACCAGAATGGGAATAGAGAACTTTAACAAACTAAGACAATAACCTCTTGTGATAATGGCCCATACTGTTTTTCACACCATGGCTGATAAATAAATAAAATAAAATGTATGTAAGTAAATTAAATACTTTTTGTTCAGCGAATAAAACAATACAGGAACAGTGAATAAATGAGGATCACTACTGTCACTATTTATTGACGTCCCTGGGGTTAAAAAACTTTAAAAGAGAGAAACTATCAGTGAGATTGTCTGATATAGACATATATGTTACTAATGGAACTGTAGGAATGTCAAATATTTAATATAAAATGTAAATGTTTACATGAAAACTCAATGGTGGTCAGCTCATAATAATATATTAACATAAAACATAACACGGATTATTAATACATGGAAATGAATGGCAGACTTCATGAGTTAGTTAAAGCAAAAAAAAATAAAAAAAATAATAATAATAATAGCACAAAGTTAATGCAGAGCTGTGAGCCAAAGAGGCAAGAAAAACAACACAGCACAGAAATAATACATCACAGTACCATTTGTACCATTAGCTGTTTCCATAATTTTATGAGCGGGGTTTATTTGAAATTTTGTTTATTGGAACAAAATTAAACAAAATTTCATTCATTAAAGGTTTATAAAGATTTATAAAGATTTACTCTGGAGTCATGTTTACAGCTAGTAAAAAGTCTCAAAGAAATTTTCTATTAAAGGTTTTAACATGTTTATGTACCTCATATACAGCCTTATACCTCAGTAATCTAATCTGACTTCTCTCTGCTCTGCCTGGTGTTCACTGACTTCATGTCACTGGGAGAGTGTGTCTCCTCTTCCTGGAAGGCTCTCCAGCACATTCAGGATGGATTTTCGTATTTCAGCCTTAAAATCTTGTCTCAAGAAGACATACAGCAGTGGATTCAAGCAGCAGTGAAGAACGACCAAATTTTTGGCAACAAAGATCCCAATTGAATGGCATAGTGAATTTTTTCATTTGGTGGAATAAATACTATCAGCTGAATGATAGGGAGTCCAGCCCAGAAAAAAGGCAACAATAATGGAAGCAATAACATTGTATAACTGCTTTTAGTTCTATAAAAAAGTAACCTGAATGGACTGCTGTGATTCATAGATTCATGCAGTCATGTATCAGATTAATACTATGGCTAGTAAAAAAGCCCCAAAGCATTTTAAGATATTTTTGAAACATTTAGAATCATTTTTAAGATAGTTGTCACAATTGTCTGCCATTTACAGTTTAATTATTTGGTTTCTTATACCTCAGTATTCAAATCTGAGCTATTTTTGCTTTGACTGGTGACCACTGACCCTGTGTAAGTGCGAGTGCGTGTCTCCTCTTCCTGGAAGACAGTCTCCAAAACATTTCGGATGGATTTGCGGACTTTGTCCTTAAAATCATGGCCCATGAACACATACAGCAGTGGATTGAAGCAACTGTTGAGAAAGGCCAGACTGGTGGCCAGAGGCATCCCGACACCTATGACAAGATCTAATGTGTTGCTCTGAGTAGCAGACGTGAATTTCACTAGTTCAATTACACCAATTATGTAAAAGGGAGCCCAACACAGGAAAAAAGTGACAATAACAGCAGTGACAATTTTAAACGTGCGTGTTGATTGGCTGGCCATGGTGCGGTTTCTCCTCAGATGATGGATTAGGACAGCATAACAGGACACAATGACAGTGAAGGGAACTGCAAATCCCAGGAAGAGACGAGTGATAGTCATGGCTAGATGACGAAACTGAATCACAGATGGTGCTGTATAGTTATCAGAAAGAGCATAGTTGCTGAAACAGAGGATTTGGTTTTCAGACATTTTCTCAGTGTCCCTGAAGATGAAATATGGAGCACTGAGAATCAAAGCAACCACCCAAACACACAGACTCACATAGGATGCTTTGCGTACATTTCGGTGGTTCTGAGCCCAGATAGGCCACACCACAGACACACATCTGTCCACACTGATCACCACCAGAATGTAGACACTGGCAAACATGTTCAGAAAGCTGATAGTGGTGTTCAGCTTGCACATGAACTTGCCAAAAGGCCAGTGGAAACCTGAAGCTGTGTAAGTCACACTCAGGGGAAGAAATGCAGTGAAGAGGAAGTCAGCCACAGCAAGGTTGAGGTACCAAACTGTGTTAACAGTTTTCTTCATCTTGAACCCGGTCACCCAGATAACCACTCCATTCCCGAGCACGCCGAGGACAAAGGCCACGGAATAAAGGATTACAGACATTGTGTTGAGAGACTGTTTCAGCCCATCATACTTGTCACCATACACAGAGTCATTTTTATCAGGTGCAGCAGTTGTATTAATTTGATCGAAAGAGTTGTTGGTCATCTTCATCAATGTTTTCAGATCTGCATAGAAAAAAACATGAATTTATGTAAAAGTCATTTTTGATATTGATAATAATTCTGTCTTCACATATTGCACAGAAATATAAATTAATTACTCTTAAATTAATGTTTAATTTATAGTTAGTTATGAATCTTAGACAATAAAGGCTCAAAATGAACAGCAAATAAAATGCATTTAGCAGTGAAGGTCATCACTTGTAGTTGAGAGCACTGTTTTCAGCTCAAATTAGATTATAATCCATCCATTCAGTGTTAATGGCTACTTCAGTTCATGATTGCACTACTGTGGCAGCAACATTCACAATGTGATATGAAAATTCTTAACTGGCTGCTGAGCATAATGTATGCATGTAGTCACAGTTATCAGGAAACTGAAGAGTGTCCAAATCAGCAATGATGTTACAACACTAAAAGAGTATGTCACCGTAATTTCCCAACAATTGAACGCAAACACGAAAAAATAAATATCTGACCAAGAACTTCAGAAAAACTTAAATTATTCTTAAAATTTGCAGTCCTAAAAAAAAAAGTATAAATTTTTATTTGTTGGAACTGATTGAAACAGAATTAGAAGAAAAACAATTCAGACTTGTAGAACGCAAAGGAACAACAAATGCTATATTGATAAGCGTCCCAGAAAAAGCAGTTAAACTTCAAAAATATCTGTACTCATGTTTTATTGATGACATGAAATCCTTCAGCACTATCAGCTACAAAAATCTAATAGTTATTATTAGTTCTGAACAATGGCAAAAAAAGACCTATTATGAAGAACATGCACTTGGAACAAACTGTGGCAATCAAAAGTGACAAAGAAATTTTCACTTCTGGTTTCGAAATTTGTCAAACTCAGAAGTGGTGTAGGGCAAAGTTGTGTGTTGTCAGCTGATCTGTTTCCTCTATACAGTGATTATATCTTGCGAGATTAAAGGAGTGCCAGGCATTGTGGTTGATGGGCACCTCATTAATAACCTGAGATGTGCAGACGACACTGTAATCAATTCAACATCTACAGAAAACAAATACTTATTGTATATAAGAAGAGTGAAGAAGTGGGACGGACATTAAGTCCCACATTCATTTTCTTGAATCTCAAGTAAACTTAGACAATGATCATTTCCAAAAAGAAAGACAATATAGTGCAACATCATACTAAAGAATTCCACACAACAAGGCAATAAGTTTAAATATTTGGGTATTACTGTGAGTAATGAAGATTGTTACGTAAAATCAAGATTTGGATTGCAAAAGGAAAGAAAGCTACCTCTGCAAGGACTACAGTTGATTGACAAATTTCCTTCAAGACAAGAAAGAGAGTCCTAGATGTCTACATCACACCTATCTTCATGTATGGAAGCAAAGAACGACCGACTAATGCAGAGGTTTTAAAATGCGCACACACCAAAAGATCATTAAATAAAACATCAGAGAGACAAGCAAGACTCTCTGGGACAAGTACTGAAAAAGGACAATTGGAATTAAATCTGGAAAAGATTGAAGGGAACAAAGACAAGGCAGAAGGCGAGAAACCGTCACTGGCAGAATACAAGACCGAAGGAAGAAAACACCAAATGAGTTGCTGGACTGTGTGAGAGAGAGGGCATCTAGTCTAAACGCCAATGCCATCCAATAAGACACTTAAGAAGAAGAAAATATGTATGGCTCTTCTGTCAGGTGTGGGTTGATGTGCAGTAGAAGAATATCAGAACAAACTGTGACACATTAATACAACCTAGACTAAACTATGTGTATTTAATATGCTCAATTAAACTTAATATGCTCAATTAAAAAAGATCATTTAAATGATAGGTGATATTTTTCAGCTTTGTTGGCCACTTGTTGACTGACCCATGAAAAGTGGTTTCTCAGTTTACTAAATAAAATAACTATTAAAGGGTTTTTGACAATCCAATCACAGGTTTACCTAATCGTCCATTTGATGTACTAAACGTTGGGCAATTACATCCATCATAATGGTCATGATGGCTGTGTGGGTTTGGGTGAGAATGTGGACTTTAATACTCACTGTGCAGTTGTTGAGCAACACTATGTCAATGGAATTGGAAAAAACCCCAAATTAAATTACTGCTTGTTTTTCTTCAGTGAAAAAGACCTTTACTTAACCTCTAGGTCTGACAGATGATAACAAACTTCTGCAGTTACTCTAACTGCTTGCACCATGCTATATTTGGCTGCCTACATTTATGTCTGCCTGCAGCTTGGTTTAGATGTATTAGTCAACACATTTTGACGAATAAAGAGGTCAAAGAAGTTATAACTGTGCAAAGAACCTTACCGGCAATTACTTTAAAAGTCACTACCCTCATGAAAGTAATGCTGTCTCTTAAGTTCAGTGGTTTAACTTAATTTTAAGAAATTAGCCTATTTGATTATTTAACACTACACTTCCAGTGAATAACTATCCCAGCAGTCAGTGTTTCTACGTTATGCAATAGTGTAAAAAATGAATTTCCTTCTTTTTAATTTTTTTTATATATGTATAAATATATATTCCATCCATTCATGCATGCATATAGATATTCAGGGAACTGAATTTTTGGGGGCTGAATCTTGAAAATGTATTAATCATGAGTGACTTAGTAATTAAAAACTGGGAAAGTCTTAAGTGTCAGAGGTTTATCTATTAAAAAGTAAATACATGATGATTTTACAATCGTACAACAGCAAAGTAACAAAGACGGCATACCTTTAGTAAAGCTCTCTTGTTGGTTGTTGAAGAATCTTCTGCAGATGAATGCCTCATCAAACTCTGACAGGTTATTATAACTGAGACTAATTTGTGGGTCGTATTTTGCCATTTATAACAAGGCAGATCCACCGGAAGTTTGCAAAAGTTTGCAGACAAATGAAAGAGAAAGAAAAAATGAGAGACAGCACTGTTGCATTGTCTTCAGCATGGCAGTGGTTCTCATACCTTTCACAATGAGTATCACCTCATGACATATATGGCTCTTGAAGTACCACCCTTATGACTGACATTAAAGTACAGCAGTACACCACATACAGTTCACACGAGACAATTTTATTTCTTATATAAATGTTATTTATTTTAACTGTCATAAACAGGATGTGACAAGTGATAATACCACTTGTCAAATCCTAATACCACTAGAGGGAGCTCACATACCACAGCTTGAGAACCAGTGCTCTAAGGCAGCTGTGCTATGAAACAATCTGAGGAAAACCAAGGTATCTCCACAGTCAGTGGCATATATTATAAAACAGTACAGATTGTAAAACATGAACCTTTCAGCTCATTGTACCTACATTCCTAATGGGTTTCTTTCTTTCTTTCCTTGTTTTTACTCAAGAGCATTCACACTGAATTAGGTTACAGATGTGGGTTACAGAATAATTATTACCTCTATAAAGTCACCACCTATAAAAAGTCTTTAAATGTTATAAAGCATAAAGGAAAGACTTACCAGATCTCTAGGAAAGTACAACTGAATTGGGCAGAGAAAGAACAAGGTGTTTAATGAATCCGCTGGTGTGGAAGTACGGAAAAGTTTTCAAAGGAAGAGGTTGTTAGGTTGGCTCAGGTTTACTGATTTGGAGATAAAGTTAAGGGGGTGAGGCTGAGATGGTTTTAAGACGTGCAGAGGAGGTGGATAACTAAAGGGACCAACAACAGAAGAAAATCGAGCATTGAGCAACAGAAATCAGAATGAAAACTGTTTTTCCCTGTCTATCAACATCCTGTTTTGCAGTCTTGTTTAACTCTACTTCTTACTCTAAAAGTCAACTGTCCACTTCTTGTATTTTTTCATGTCATGGAATAATTCCATGACATTGCAAGGAATTGTAAAACTGCTTGTGGAAACACCTTATGTGTTGTGATCAGAATGTAAACTGTAGACCTACAATATGAGTGGGAAAGCAGTTAAGCTAAAAATATGTTATTGATCGAAATGTTATTCACAAAAACAACTAAAAACATTTTGTCAAGTGTTCATAAATAAGTTTAAATTATATGGTAATATAAAATATATACCAAAGCTGCTGAGTTTGTTATGATTTTGTGATTCATTATTTTGGATTCAATAGATTTTAGGACTATCAGCTGTGTACCAACCTGACTTCTGCACAACACAACTGATGGAGTTCATCATGAAGCGCATTGAGAGTAGACCAAGAGTTCACAGCACTGTCAATAAAGCAAAGAGTGGCTGCTTTGAGTAATCTAAAATATAAGACATATTTATCAATTTATTTATCATATATTTAATGTCTTCAGTGTGTATCTACAATGTAGAAAGTGAAAATAACGAATTACATGAGAAAGTTTGTTCAAACTAATGACTGGTAGTGTATATATGAAGCAATCCAAGAAATATAAAGTCAAACACAAGCAGGCAGTATTCAGTATGACATGAAAACTAACCCAAACCCAATATGACAGGGAAAGTAAAACTACAAAAAAGACACAACAATCAAAGTAGAGCAGAAAGTCACTGACAAACATTTAGAGTAGACTCTGGTACAATACAATTCTATTAGTACCTACTCAGATTGACTTGACATGGTTCACCATGGTTTTCAGGTTTTTCCATTAGGCCATAGAACCTGATACCAGGTACATTTTTAGAACCTGCTCGGCTGGGGTTCCAAGCGATCCGACCAGGTACTAAATTGTGACGTTGTCAGACTGCATGTCACCGATTGGCTGGCTAGTAGTTTTCACTCGATGAGTCATGAGAGCATTTTGCTCACAAAAATCAAAACTTTTTTTAAAGCCCATTTTTAAGTTTATTCATAGTCTTCGTAATTTCTGAGATCATTCCACAGTTTATTGATATAGCCTTTTTTTCCATTTGCCCATCTTTACTTCTTCTGCCTATTTAAGGTAATCTTGTCTCAGTCTTGTTACTGACTTGTTGCCAGTTAACCCAATTAGTTGCAAAATGTTTCCTCAAGCGGTTTCTTTTTAGAATGACTTACTTTCCAGCCTTTTGTTACCCTGTCCCAACTTTTCTGTTGCTGCCCTTAAATAAAAAAACAACAACAACAACCAATTTTTGTCATGAATAGTAAAATGTCGCTTATCATAAATTAAGTTATCATAAATTAATATCTCTAGAAAATTAAAACCGCCGCCCAAGCATACAGATCACTAATAATTATAGCTCACTAATGATTATTTACTTTCCTTGACCGCAAGTAAAGACATGTTGATTCATAGAGTTCATGGAATTTTACGATTCATGAGAGGCACGGAAAAATTAGAATATAAACAAGCGTGCTGATCCACACCCGTGTGCACACAGGTGTACACACGGGTGTTCACAGACACAAACTACACCCTTCTTGGCTGCTACGTCAAAGCACATTGTGCGCTGTCAATCTTGCGTACTGCACAATAACATGCAATATTTAGTATCTACTGTTATCTACTGTTAACTAGTTTATTGTGATGGTGTTGTATTTAGTATGTTGCTCTTTTTTGTTTGTTTTCTCTTCTATTTTTTCTTATCCCCATACAGGTGATCCAGGTGTTTTGTTTGTTTTTCTTTTTTTTTCTTCCCCCCTTTCTCACCATCTCATCTCTCCCTCTCATTCTTTCATTCTTTCTCCCTCTCCTATCCCCAGTCATGTCTGTCCCGTCTGTAACAACCAAATATCAAATCAAATAAATGCATAATTATAATAAAGGTCAATCAAATGGACCAATATGGCAAGGCCATGATAGAATAGAATAGAATAGAATTCAACTTTATTGTCATTGCACATGCACAGGTACAGGGCAACGAAATGCAGTTTGCATCCATCCAGAAGTGCTTTAGTGATATAGATATATTACAATATATATTAGCAATAGTATAGATATGTAAGTATACTACAGAAATGGGTCTATTATGGTATGTTATAATGTACACGGTATGAAGTATGTTGTGAATATTCTATAACTAAGTATGTAAAGGCTGTAGTGAGTACAAGCTATGTACAGGCTATGAACAGGATATAAATATGAAAAACTATACAGAATATGAAATAAATAACTTTACAGAAATCTGAGATATACAGCTATACAGAAATGGGAACTATGCAAGTTGTAAACAGTTGTAGGATTAAAGATTATTGAATGTACAGAATGATTATTTACACAGAGCTATACAGTAGTGCAGTTAAGATAAGTGAGGGTGTAGATAGTTTCTACAGAGGCTATATAAAGTGCTAGTGGTTGTGAGTGGTGGTTCAGTCCATGTTATTATTGTGTGTTTGAGGGTACAGTTGTCCATTGTGGGTGTGTGTATGTTCAGTCCATGAGTTTAACGTGGGTCAGATGTCAGGAGGCAGAGTTCAGGAGTCTGACAGCTGTGGGGAAGAAGCTGTTCCGGTACCTGGTGGTCTTAGTCCGGAGGCTCCTGTGGCGCCTCCCAGAGGGCAGGAGGGTGAAGAGTCCATGTGATGGGTGACTGGGGTCTTTGATGATTTTCCCAGCCCTTTTCAGACACCGCTTCCTGTAGATGTCTTTTATGGCAGGAAGTGGTGCTCCGGCGATGCGCTGGGCAGTTTTCACGACCCTCTGCAACGCCTTCCGATCCGAGGCAGAGCAGTTCCCGTACCAGACTGTTATACAGTTGGTCAGGATGCTCTCGATGGTGCAACGATAGAAGTTCACCAGGATGTCTGAGGACAGGTGGTTCTTCCTCAGGGTCCTCAAGAAGAAGAGGCGCTGGTGAGCCTTCTTGACCAGCTTGGAGCAGTTGGTCGTCCAGGTGAGATCCTTGGAGATGTGGACTCCCAGGAACTTGAAGCTGCTCACACGCTCCACAGCCGTCCCCTTAATGTGGATGGGTGGATGTGGGTCAGCATTCCTCCTGTAGTCCACGATGAGCTCCTTGGTCTTCTCGGTGTTAAGCAGCAGAGGATGATGATGCAGTTGGTAAAGTAAATCTGCTTGGCATCTTTCTTAGCCTTCAGACAACAATTCTGATGGCTAAAGATCCAAACAGGACAGGCAAAAAAAAAGAATATAAACATTTGTGTGCTGATCCTAATAGTGGTAACATATCTCACAGATGTCACTGTGACTTTCAGTTTGGAAATAAACATGAAAAAGGAACACCAAAGGTTTCAGGAAATAACAGTTTTGAAATATGGGGTAGCATGATGGTTAACACTGTTGCCTCACAGCAAGAGAGTCCTGTTTTCAGATCGACTGTGTGACCGAGGCCCTTTCTGTGTGGAGTTGAACCATGAGAAGGTGGTATTCATAAAACTATTAGAAACAAAAATAAGACAATGCAGTTATTTGTTTTCTTTTTAAAAAATGTGTTTTTAATAAAAATGGAAGTGTAACTGCCTGTCCTTTCACTCAAAGTGGCATTTGTTATGTGTATCATAATAGTTGTCGCTGCCCGGAGTTGGGTGAGAAAGTTCAGTCCAATAATCACCGTGTAGCAGCTGAGCAAATGTACGTTAATGAATGTAAAACTAAATTATGATTCCCATCAAATAAGAATGAAATAAAGAAACAAAATGCCCATTTCTTATCCACTAGGTCTTACAGAGTTCAACCAAAACCAAAACTATATCATGAACTACCACAGTTACTCAATACATGTGGCTTCTTGATCCATGTTGTTTTGCATGTCTGTATTTATGTGTGTGTGCAAGTTACTTTAGCCTGTATGAATTCCCTTCTCATAGTCACATGGATATGTAACCTTTTCTTTTCACTTGTTTACTTTACGAAGAACTTTGAACTTTCAGGTTTTGATTAATCCCCTATTCAACAAGTTTCCAGTCCGATTTATGTGCAAACTAGATAATAGGTGTTTTGTTATATATGTTTGAGTAGTAGTTATATATTTCTTGCCTTATCTATTTTTGAAGAGGTTTTTCAAGCGGCCATGCAAAACCTACTTACACATGAGACACTATTAGAAACACATTTCAGTGCAGTTTCAGTGCAACTCCTTGGTGTGAAGGGGGGTGTTGAAGGTAGACTGGTACACCCTGACACTAACACAGAGCATAACCAAGGAGCGGCTGCCTTAGGAATGTGTGGGGGTTATGGGAGGATGGTGCTCCTGTATTTGTGATACTGCAGCAAGGTACAGACAGGACTAACCAGGGAGGGCTAAAGTTTAAACCATGGCCTCTCTCCATTGATAGCCAATCACAAGTATTTTCTGTTTTGAATATATCATTTTAGTTACTAATTGTACAGGACTTCTGGGTGTGCACACTGCTTGACACTGAGAAGTCCACAGTCCTGGGATATCGAAAAACATGGGGAATTTGTTTATTTCACATCTAGTTGCTAGTCAATACAATATGCTGCCAGATCCCAGAATACACGTGTATGTTACAGTCACAACTTTTCTTTAACAGTCTCAGCATTTTTCCTTCCTTGTTTTTATGGGTATTTCTCCAAAACATGCATTAATCACAATTGTTGATTCTCTGGTATATTTAATAATAATAATAATAATAATAATAATAATAATAATAATAATAATAATAATAAATCATTCTTGAGAATTCTGTATT